CTATGCTACAAATATCAAAAGTTTCTTAGGTCTAGTAGGTTATTACAAAAGGTTTGTGGAAGGATTTTCATTTATAGCCTCACCATTGACTAGGTTGACCCTGAAGATGGTTAAGTGTCAATTGTCGTATGATTGTGAGAAAAGCTTTGCAGAATTAAAAAGTAGATTTACTACAACTCCTGTATTGACTCTGCCAGAGGGTTCAGAGGGTTATGTAATCTATTCTGATACATCCAAAGTTGTCCTAGGTTGTGGTGATGCAGCGAAATAAGGTTATAGCTTATGCTTCTAAACAACTTAAGGTTCATGAGAAGAACTATCCAACTCACGACTTTGATCTTGCAGCAATGGTGTTTGCACTCAAGATATGGAGACACTACTTGCATGGTGTTCATTTAGATGTGTTAACAGACCATAAGAGCCTTCAGTATTTGTTCACCCAGAAAGAGTTGAATTTTCGCTAGAGGAGATAGCTTGAATTCCTTAAGGATTATGTAATGAGTGTGCATTACCATCCTGGCAAAACGAACATAGTAGAAGATGCTTTTAGTAGATTATCTATGGATAGTGTAGCTTATGTTGAGGAATAAATGAACGAGATAGTGAAGGATGTTCAAAGGCTTGCTCGCTTGGGAGTTCAACATATGAGCATATCACATAGTAGTGTAACAGTTAAGAATGGGCAGAATCTTCCTTGGTAGTGGAGGTTAAGGAAAAGTAAGGCAGTGATCTAATATTTTGGTCTTTTCCTAGTTCGTTTAACCCCTAAGATACGTCGCTTAAGCCCTAAATCATCAGATTTTCGTCAGTTTAAGCCTAGACACATAACAAGAACTTACCTAAGTAAAAATTATAAATTAAAACTTGGAACATTAGAAGCAAGAAAGGAGAAAAAGATAAAGAATCCTAGTTCAAGAACGCAGCAAGGTTCAATTAGTTCCAACCCTGAAATCTAGATATTTCTCAGTGCATTTCATCACTACGTAAGTGGGATTACTCTAGTGGGTTCATTCCACCCATTAGATCCCTAGTTTTAGTAAGTTTTTGTTTCTCTTATCATGATTAAACCTAGGGTTTCTATAATTACAGCATATCATCACGAATCAGTTAGATATATGTTCCAAATCAGATTGTAAAGTTATTAGTCAGTTTATCCCATGAATTTTAAAATCCTGGCTCTGTATTTCTTTAGTTCTTGAAATACACATGCTATGTCAGATATTTCAGTTACTTTAGATATACATACCTCAGTTATTAATGTATAATTATTAGATTAATTTTTGCATTCTCAGTTTGCATGTTAAGTTTTGAGCTATATAGTATTTACAGAAATTCAGTCATGATGTCTTAATCACATTATTCATCGAGAGTAGCATAATACCAAGTTGGACTAGGGTTTAGTGTTCCCAAATAGTCTCAAAACTACTAGCCAAGTAGGTTGTATGTCCCATCTGTGGGTATCACTTTAGTGATCACGCCAGCATGATTTATACCTCTGGCATGGTATATTGGTCCTCTGGATGAGGCGTATACATCAGACTCCACATTTATATCATGTGGTTTTATTATTGGTTGTAAGTAGCTCACACAGTTCAGTCAGACTCTATTACATTGACCATATTTATAGTTTATTTAGTATTTAGTCTCAACATGTTATAAATTTGGTTAGTACATCTAGTTAGCACATAATTCATACATCATGTTCATAATACTACACTTGCTTGTGTGCTTGTTTAGTTATATTTTATTTCAGCTTTACTCTATCATATATTCTCAGTAACTTTAAAGTATTGACGCATACGTGTGCTACATCTTCTTGTGATGTAGGTTCAGGTTCTCATTATCCAAATCACATTTAGATCGATTCTCAATCTAAAGTTCAGCAGAATCAGTGGTGAGTCCTTATTTTCCAAGGATAATAGTCATGAGTTTATTTCAGTATTTCTAGTCTTTTAGTTTCAGATTTTGCTAGACTTAGTTGGGGCCAGTCACATTCTTTCTAGTCAGTTAGAGGGTATTTTTAGGCATAGTTAGATTCAGCTTGGTATTAAGTTAATATATTCTTGTATAAAACTCATGATTGTTTTCATTTATCTCAGATATAGCTTATGGGTATTACCCATCTTTTCATTCTAATTATGATTTAACTTCTGCATTAGTTTATTATAGTTAGTATGCTCATGATCAAGCCAGCAGGGTTAACTTGGGATCACTTGAGGGCTTAGGTCTCGTGTCTGTGTCTCGGGGGTAGCTCGGGACGTGACACTTTTGGTTACCATATTAATAATCCTAGGGATGTGACTGGAAACCTTGACAACAATCTTCTCATCAACAGCCGAACAACATTGATAAAACCAAACTTGCATAGAAAGGGGGAAGCTATGAATCCTATAATAGTGTCTATTGGAATCTATCTTGTTATGACTTGTTTTGGCAAGTTCAATAAAGTAACTCTTACCCCAAGGATAATTCATCCCGATTCGGCCAAGTCAAAGTCTATCCTAACAATTACTTTTATATTAGGTTAGGCAGACATGATGAATTTATGTATGTACAAGTATTCCAAATGTAAACGCATCATCCTCATTTTCGCCCCATACTTTGGCTCTATAACTATCAATCAATTGAGCTTTAGTGATAGGAATTTTGCCATGAAAATACGCAATTATAAATCTATTTGGTTTATCAGTACCAAAGAAAAAGTCAGACCATTAGAATGACAGTTTAGATCAGAAATAATTGCAAACTCCCTTATTGTAAATCGAAGCATTGTGTCATTTACGCATATAAGAATTGCATCGGCGAAATTACCTTCCAACTCCCGCAACATGAAACATCTAAATGATTATTCTTTCACCTGACATCATTTCATTGCATATAGTGGAGCAAAATATAATGTTAGACATATATGATTATATTAGTTCAGGGGCAGTCTCTTCTGGAACTTATGAAGTATTCTGACTTATGTATAATTTTGCATGTGGGGGGACTCTATGATTTGTGTTTGCACATAAATCTAACTCATTGTACAAGTATAAAGATAAAAAATATATATTGTAACATTATTTTATACAAAACTAAAAAATTGTATAACTAAAAAATGTTTGTATTGTAATCTCTTTGTGAATATCTATAAACTTTTATATCCTCATATACAATTGTCTCAATCAACTGGCATACAATCCTTAATATTCAACTAATAATATGTATAGTATATCTTCAAGTAATTTGTATATAACTAATTTGTATATAATCCCTTAATATACAACTAATAATATACTACACATAACTTATACAATTTGCACATAATCTTTGATATACAACTAACAATATACATAATATATATCTTCAAGTAATTTGTATATAATCCCTTAATATACAACTAACAATATACTATACGTAACTTATGCAATTTGTATATAACCCTTAATATAGAACTAACAGTATACGTGATACATAACTTCAAGTCATTTTTATATAACCCTTAATATACAACTAACAATATACATAATACATAACTTCAAGTAATTTGTATATAACTAATGGAATATACAAGTGACATTATACAATTGTGATTGAGGGCAACAAGATGTACTTATACTTCAAGTAACTTTTGTATAACTAACCAAATATACAAATAAATAATACTTTATGGTCTAATCAGAATACTTTATGTATATTTGAACATAAGTAATGACACATACAAATATAAATCTAGAATTTTGTTTTAAGTCAATACATGATGTTCCTGGTATTCTTTAGGTTTGTCCAAATCTGATAAGTAGATTCAATGTCCTATTAATCCCTATTTATACTTTTTTCTTGCTTCCTCCGTCAAGAATTTAATGTCGCTAGCCTTCGCCGTGTTAAGGACTTTCTAAATTGCAATTGGGTCATTTTTTTTCTTAGATCTCAATACTTCACTAGATTTTTCAACTTGAACTTGCTTAGATATTGACACAGACCCTGCATTGAACCCTAAAATCCTGAGTTAATCTGAATTAAAATAACTATGGATTGTCAATGACTTTGACATGCAATGGTGTACCTGTAGTAATCCTTATATATGGAGAGCTATTTCAGTAATCTGTTATTATGATAAGAAGAACAATACTTTTAAAAACATTATCAAAAGAAACAAAAAAAAACATAATAAATACAAGTGTGGAAAATGGAAAATATATATTCACCCACGATTTTGACGGCTACCTGCGAAAGTTGAAACACTATTAGAGGGAAAATGTGGAATTACGCCAATTAGAATTCAACTGAGAAGTGAAAGAGTGATTTTAGAAGAAAGATAAGGAATGAGGATTAAGAGATATAAAGATTTCGTATAAAACTATGTACAAAAGCAGCTGAATGGCTTTGCTGATTCGGTATACACAAAGGTGGCGGGTCTCATTAATTATGACAAAAATTTGAAACTATATTTACTGAAAGTAAATAAATCACACTATACCCTTATTAACTAATAACTAAGGCATGTTTACCAACTCATGTAATGTTTCCTTTAATTATAGTCCAAATTAATTGATCTATGCTAAAATATATGAGCTTAATTTGGCAAGAGCAATTTCATCTCATTCTAGAAGCTCATTTTGGTGCCACATGGCAATTAATGTGGCATGCCAAGTCAAACAACAAGTCAATAGGATCATGGTGGCATGCCAAGTCAAACAAGAAGTCAATAGGATCATGGCATATGTCAAAAATGATAAGCCCACTCCATAGTCCATATATCATGTCACTTATAAGTTAAAAGTTAACGACCGAATTCAAATCCGGTCAATAAAAGGTTTTTTAACGACAACGTAAATTCCGGTCGTTATATGCCATTTTTAACGACCGGATTTGCTCTTTTATAAAAGCAATTCTAACTACCAAAAAGATTTTCGTCAATTACATTCCACTTGCAATACAAATACTATTAACAACCACATTTCCTGTCGCTAATTGTAGTTTATTCAAATAATTTTAAGAAACCAATTATAAGAGAGTTTAAAGGAACCAATTTCATTCATTATTATACAAAATTCTATAAAGTAAATACAAAAACACTCAAAATAAACTAAATAATTGAATTCATTATAGAAAGTCTCCTGCTTAATACAAAAAAACTAACTAAAGAAAGATATATCTTATTCCAGTAGCATAAAATATCTTTATGAACTCCTAAAAAGGAGAAGAATTACAAAAAAAAAACAAATGATATGACATTGTCCTTAATTTAAACCCCTAACTAAAGTGAAAGTCATCTTGAACTTCTACTTGCTCTGTACGTTGTTGAACGGTATATTCTTCATATTTACATTCAAGATCTGTAAGATAAAAACTTATGTCAATTTAAAACAAGGAATAAAAAAGTATGTACTAAACATACTTTAAAAAATGCAAAATAGAATACTTGTGAATATGCACTTGAGGAAGCAACATTAACAGCAGTAGCAAATGTAACATTCATTTTATTTAGTACTCATATAATGATTGTTCATAATCATTTAATAGGCCGTAGAATCGTTTCGCTTCACGATTTGGTTCCGCCTCAACAAAATCATCACTATTAGTATTCATATTCTCTTCAGTGAAATCGGGGTGTAAATCCCTTAAGAGCTCTTGCATTTCATCCTCATCGTCATCATATTCAATGATATTTTCCTCTACGAATTCAGAATCCGCCTCTTCCTCACCTAACCTCTCCCCATGATGATACCAAAAAGTATAACCCTAAACAATTCCATACACTAATAGATGTGACCTAACCATCTCACGAGTTTTGGAAGATGCATTACAACACCTGATGCAGGGACAACGTATTTCTTGTGTTTCTCCCAATTTTGTAAAAGCATAATCCAAAAAGTTCTCCACCCCAATGATGTAAGCATTATCAAGTCTATCTTGAACAAGTTGCATCCATTCCTTATTAGGTGTCATAATCTTCATTCACCAAAAATATTATAGATACACCAACATAAGTAAGAACTAACCATTTATTGTTCAAAAGTTGAAGAAGACCTTCTGAAAGATTCTAGGTAAGTTTAAGAAAACAAAATTATGTGATTTTTAATTATTTATTTGTATAGTGATTGCTCCGATTATAAATGTATACTTTGTTCATGTATATTCACATAATTAGATAATTATTATGTCTTATTGGGGAAGGGGTGCTTTTTTTCAGCTTAAAAGCTCTTTTAAGTTGACCAAAATATTTTACCTTTTTGCCCTTAATCTTTTATTATTATTATTATTATTATTATTATTATTATTTACTATTATTATAAATATTAGTATTATTAATATTGTATTAGTTTATTATTATTGTTATTGTTATTATTATTTATTTTTTTACTCTTTATTATTATTATTATTATTATATATTATTATAATTATTAATATTTTATTATTATGATTATTAATTATTTTATTATTCTTTATTATTATATATTTATATATTATTAAATATTATTATAATTATTATTTTCATATTATTTTATTATTATTATTTATTATTATTATTTTCATATTATTTAGTATTATTATTTTTATTATTTATTATTATTATTATTATTTATTTATTATTAATACTTTACATATTGTTATTATATTATTATTTTCATATTGTTACATTATTATTATCATTTGTTATTATTATTTATATTTAATTATTTTTATTGTTATTATTATTTTTTATTATTTTATTAATATAATAATTATGTATTATTATTATATGTTATTATTAATATTTTTTTATTATTATTATTATTTATTTATTTTATTATTCTTTATTATTATCATATATTATATATATTATTATTCAAGTTGTCATCTTATATATCCTAGTTTATATGACCGTACATATGATAGGGTCAAACAAAACAAAAACTATTGTTCAGCAATAACGGCAAGAGGCTCTATTTCTTCTTTTAATATGTGTGATTGTTGAATAAATTCTCAACTATTATGAGTTTTCCTATTAAATGCATAATAATTAACAAAAGAAGATTCTGTAAATATTATTTTATTATTATATAGTCGCAACTAAGCACATAAGGACCATGGAATATACTTCATCATCTATTAGCAATAGTAGTAGGTTAGCAAATAACATGTAAAGCAAAAACTTAGCAGGTAAAGCAACAACTTAACACCTAACAAAAGCTGCTAGCAACAATTAAGTCAGCAACAGTCCAGGTGTAACAACACTTTTTTATCATATTCTAGAGCAGGCCAACAACATGCTGTATACTTTATTTTAAAAAACACATAGCACTTTGTAGGCACTAATAGAAGATATCACGCTATGATAATAATACAAGTTTCAATAGTTCATTGGCTCAGACAGAAAGAAACAGATCGAGGATACGCATTATGCAATATACTTATTAACAATTTCATATTCCTTCTATAACAAGGACTCCAACTACAATATCCATAATGGCATTAACCTATGTATACTCATTAACAATTTCATATTCACACTAAAAAGATCCCATTTTGATGTTTCCTCTTAATCCTATGACAACAAGCACCATGATCTCTAAGTTGTCAACCATAGTAGGTGAAAAAACAAGTCAGCAGGTACTAACATGGAAAGGAAAAATCATAAAGGAACACACAGGCCTGCGAAAAAACTTGGTACTGACTCTTTGGTGGAAGAACTCTGGCAGGGATCTCAGACGACAATTTAACAGCCACTACTGCAGTTGATTCGTGAGAAAGACAAGGGGGCCAGCCTTTTAAAACTCTAGGACCCCAATTCTCTCCTAATATTGTTACTTGAACTAAGCAAATCCATATAAGCACTGATGTTGTGATCCGTATCATCCATAACTTCATTCTAGACTTGGATGACATAGAACATTTTAGTTTTTCCAAATGACTTTCTGCTAAAGCTGTTTCTTTTAGCCCCATTATGCCCAAATTCTTTCACCCCTTGGCATTAACTACTTTTTTAGCACATTTCCGCAAAATATTTACACTATTGAACTCAGAAATTGTATTTCTTGTTTGTTTTCCTCACTCACTCATCACAAACAATCAATATAACATACACAACACGCAAGAGCGAAAAAATAATATATGAAACCCATTACTGGGAAAAACAAAAAAGAACGAAAAAACCCCATATGAAACCCATTACTGGAAAAACCTAAAATTGAACAAAACCAAGCATTCCACAAAGCAATTCATAGTTCTAATAATAAAAATTATACCTTTAAGAGATTGAAACACCAAGATAGGGTCTGAATAATGTCAACCGAAGCAAAGCCACAACAAATCGTAGGAAGAGAAAGGTGATTTTTTTGTTTTGCTATCGAACAATAGAGATGCAGATCATCTTTTTATAACGTTTAGCAGAGAAACGTGGATTACGAATATGCTAATTTTCCTCTAACAAACCTTGGAGAGACTCACCTAATTAGATCTCTTCTTAGCTGATTTTCTTCAAAAATAACATGGAGAGAAGGTGGTTGCGGAATTTCCTCCAACACTTCCTGATTTTTCCCTAACCATCGTTCCCGCTCACTGTAGATGTGGAGAAAATTGAGCTTATCTGTTCACTTCTAAGAGAAAAAGATGGGAATGAGGAAAGCTTTTATTTTTTATGAAATGAGAATGAAGAAATACACAATACACGGTGTTTCTTTTTGGAAAAGTGAAAGAGTGGTGACACGTGTGTGGATGAAAAGTAAAGAAATAAAAATTTCTATAATTTTTTATGTATATAAATAATTAATAAGTTGATACAAATTCTTTTAAATTCTGGATGTTAAATATTTAAGTATGTAGATAATTAATAATTTGATATAAATTCTTTTAACGTCTAGATAGTATACTAATACCTATTATATTAAATTAAAAAAAGGACCTTTAACGACTGGAAAAAAATTGTGTCGCTAAAAGTTCACTTTTAACGACCGGATTCATATCCCTTCGTTAAGAATTGGTTGTTAAAATACAGTTTCTTGTAATGTGAGTAATTACGCATCTCTAGTAAAAACACATAACACATAAGCATATTTCATGTAAGTCGTTATAACACATTAGAACCATCATTTAAAGTAATCTAAAGTTATACTTGTGCAATATATGAATGACATCTTATATTACCACTCACACTAAGTAACCCTATGAGGCCACCATAGACAAGGAACATTAATATTTAGTAAGTGAAAACAACTCATAATACAATCCAAGTTAAGCATGTATCATCACATTAAGCCTTTAAGTCAACATTCTCATTAGCATCACCATGAGCACATTTATTTAATTAGACATTACGACATTAGATAAACAGACCATGGCGCTCTCAAAGCCCACTTGTGAATTGCATGAATGGAATCCCATATTACCACCCACACTTCATATAACCTCTTGATCTACCATACAAATAACTCACATGATGGAAAACCGTCATAGACCAGATGAGCTTAACATGGAATCTAGTATGATGTCTCACACTGAAAAGAGTTGGCTAGTTGCCTAAGGTAGAACCGGTAACATTTTAGCTTTGGTGGATTCACCTGGTAATATCCTATGTGCACACAAAGTTATGGGATAAAGAAGGTGTTCATAGGAAACCGACCTAAAATGGGGAGAGCTTCCACCTTACAATATCCACACGGTGCTAAGCTTTAAATTCTCATAGAGGAGTTCATTCTCATTAACATTTTATTATTGTACTTGAGAGGCTATCACCATTCGATCTACCAACCCAAAAATCTAGAGGAATAAATTATTTTATGAAACTTTTAAAAAAAAATTTAAGACATATATTTGATTTTATCTTTAGGCTATTAATGTGCTTGAGCCGTCTTAAGTAGATTTTTCATGTGTTATAAAGTTACTATTGTTATTTTTATAAATTAACTAACAATATTAATTTATATATATATATAAAAATTTTGATTTGACAGCTAATACTATTTAGAAATGGCTACAACCCCCCCCCCCCACCCTCCAAATAAGCGCCGAAAATCGGTGATGTTGTCATGATAAGTGTGGAAATACGATAGTGAACTCGATGATTGAAGGACCTATCGATTTGCATTGATTTTTGGTACCGGCATATAAAGATTTGAATCCTTTTACTTCATATTATGAACACCCGATTAGATTTGTCAAGAACGAACTTCCCCTTTCCTAAGATCCTGAACGTGGTATTGACGCATCATATGATTGTCAACATGTCTACTTATATGTCAAGGATAGTTAGGGTATTTTTAGTATTTAGTTCTAAGTTTTATATATTTTGCTATTTTATAGAAAATAATATAAAAAGTATTATAAATCATAATAATCAAGAAACAAAAAATATCTAAAAACATATAAAGAAAATTGGTTTAGTCTAAAAATTCTATCTATGAATCATAATTTGAGATAAATAGAGTAACATATTTATATAAAGATTACATAAAATATACTATAAATTACAATAATTAACTACTTAAATATCTAAAATCTTTTTAAAAAATGTGAGTGACTTTTGAAATTTCATTTGTATCACATAAACTTGGAGGGAGTAGGGCTGTGAAAAAATCGAACTGAAAAAAGTGTTATTGGATTATTGCTATTGGTACGGTTTTTAATGGTTTTATAAAAAAAAAAAAACTTCGAATTATCGGTTTGATATTAGTTTTTAATATTGGATAATTGAGTAAATTGATAACATATTAAGAATATAGTAATTTACTAATTACATGTACATAAATATTAAATATTAATCTCAATACCTTAATAGTTACTGTATGTTTATACTTCAAGTGACTTTCAGTTCATAAATTCACATTATACAGAATGTCAAAATCTAAAGTAAGAATCATATTCCTATTAATTTCTTTTTGTGTTACACTTATATAGTTCTTTTCATCTTAATTATTATTGTTTCTATTCATGAGCATTTATAAAATAACATTATTGTCTTATTGCGTCAAATTTGTTAGAGAAGTCATATATTTATTTTATAATTTTTTTTATTGGTTAAATAAAAAATCGAACCGTTAAAGACTACAATAATAAACCAAAACCCCATAAAAATTATATTATTGATTTAACATATTTAAAAATTCAAAATCGAACTGAATGCACAACCCCAGGATGGAGTAATATATATTATGTGAAAAAATTATAATAAAAACATGCTATAAATCATTATAATGAACAATTTAAGATATTTTTTTAAAAAAGAGCATATGATTTTTTTTGTACTCTCGAAATTCATCTATGGCACACAAATTGTTGCAAACAAAGTAATACATATTCGGTCAAAATTACTTTAAAATAGTAAAATAATAATAATAATAATAATAATAATAAATAACAACTTAAAATACTTTTTGAAAACAAATAATTTTTTTTTAAATCTAAATTCTATCTGTGTCACATAAATTAAAAAAAATACTCCCTTCGCTTTAAAATAATTGAATTATTAAGACTTTTTCATATTTAAATTAAAATTAATTGTTGAATTATTTTACACTATATTTGAATATTCTCTCATTTTGTTTCTTTCTTTTAGATTTTCTATGTAATGAGTCTGAGAAATGTAATTATTCTAAAGATAAATTTAGTAATAACTAATAAATGGAAAAAAGAAAAATAATATTTAAATTATGTCTAATTTTTATCTTAAAAAGATATGGAGCACCTTTAACAATTCAGTTAATCTATGTCGTGAACTTTTTTTGTTAAAAATATATTAACATTAATTATTTTGAAATGAAAAGAACATATATTAAAGGCAAATGTATTAATTATCGCTCGAACTTAAAGCTTTTTATTTGGTGTACACTTAAATTATATTCTATTTTAATTATCCTCAAACTTATTTATTTCACCATTGCGTACATCTTTTTTGTCCACTGCTCCTATTATGACTACACGCGCGTCAACCGGCAAAAGTGGTGATGATGTGGATTTTCACCTAATTAAATAATAGTCACCTAGATAAATTAAAATGACAAAAAATAAATATCATATTCAAACAACTCCTCCACCCCTCCCGCCTCATCTCCGCCTATCACCTCTTGCTCCACTTCGCTGGAACCACCGTCCACCTCCGTCAATCAAAATATCGCATTCATGGCTGGAATTCACTCTCCATCTTCACCGTCAAATTCCATGAATTTCCAATCCCAAATTACGAAACCCCACCTCCAAATCCAAATTCCACCACCAAATTCCATTTCCAATTGATGCCTTATTTCCACGCCACGAGTCATCTTCGTCACCTGATTACTTCTTTTTTGCAAGAACTATATATTAATTATAGAAGAGTAATTGTAATTTACTATTCTTTAATAGTTTGTGTTCTTCAAGATACTCCTTCTATATATAAATGTTGAGTGAATTAGCAACTCGGTTGGAGAAAAATGAGGAAAAAAAATCATATGGGTAATGAGGGAAACTTCAAATTCAGGGGTAATGAATATTTTTGTCAATAATAAAAAAAGGAAGATTTTACGTTTTTTCACTCTTGTAGCTTTATAACGTGGCAAAAAATCACTCTCACTGGCCTAGTAGAGTGCGATTTAAATTTCTACGACAGGTGGCCAGAAAAGGTGCATGTGTTGGATGAATAAACAAGTTCGTGGGGGGGGAGTGTTTTAAACGAAATAAAGTTATTAAATATACACCGAACAAAAAGCTTCAAGTTTAGGGGGTAATGAATACTTTTGCCTATATTAAGTGCTCGTTTGGCCATAGATTATTTGGGGAAAAACTTGACAAATAGTGTTTGTCTATACACGTTGCCATTATTTGGCAAATATTTTTGGAAAATATTCCGAATTTTTCAAGTACTAGTTTTATTTAATATTTGGGTCAAATCTCATTATTTTAAATTTTTTTAAAATTAAAATTTTACCACAAATTTTTATTTTTTACAAAAACACTCTCTATAATTGGTGTTTACGTTGTACTACATAATTTTTTACATTAATCCCAAAGTGGTGGTGAAATATATATAGTGAATGTTAAATGATGATATGGTTATTAATGAAAATGATGAACAATCGGTTCAAAATAAGAAAGTCATATGTTTTATCTATTTCACGATATATGAAATTATGCTTGTCGCACTTACTTTAATTTATCATACTACTTTAATGTCATGAATATTATTTGTTATTGTTGTAAAAAAGATCTAATAAACTTATAATACAAACTTATGATTAAACAAATGGTAAAATTTTATCTAAATAATATTTATTAAAAATATAAAAAATATATAATCAAACGCTAGTCGCATGTGTATTTAATTGAGTGTATGTATTACTATTTTTTACTGTGGTCCATATTGATGAGGGGGAGGTAGATGCATTTATTGTGCGGCATGGTATCCATTTTTTTAAATTTATTTACCAAAGTATGTACTCCGACCCCACACTCTTTCTATGTAAGAAAATGCTAGTAATCAAAATTGAAAATAATTTCAGTTGAGCAAAAGAATTAATGGAAAATGTACGTACAAAAAAGAGACAAATTCATAGAAATTGAAAAAAACAGCAGCAACGCGTTTTCTCTCTCTTAAGTCTTCTTCTCTCTCCTCTTCTTGACTCTCTCTGTCTCTCTCTGTTCGCAGCCCCAAAAAGTAGGGTTAGGGCTAGGGTTTTTGAGTTTCAAAACCCCATTTCTGGTTCCTATAATCTTCACATACAAGGGGAGTTTGTCTCTGTTGCATTCTTTGAAGACCCTTTTGGGGTTTTACTAATGGGTCGTTGTTGTTTTGTCATCAAATGGTACTATCATGACATACCCTTGAAAGTTTTTCTCATCCTTTGTGTTTTCTTCTTAGTTCATGGCTATGCACTTTCCTCGGATTCGGATAAATCAGCGCTCTTGGAGTTAAAGGCCTCATTTTCAGATTCCTCTGGAGTGATTTCTAGCTGGAGCTCCAGAAATAATGATCACTGTTCATGGTTTGGTGTCTCCTGTGATTCCGATTCACGTGTTGTGGCTTTGAACATCACTGGAGGTAATTTGGGTTCTTTATCTTGTGCTAAAATTGCTCAATTTCCTTTGTATGGCTTTGGAATTACAAGGGTTTGTGCTAATAATAGTGTCAAGCTTGTTGGTAAAGTACCTCTCGCAATATCAAAATTAACTGAACTAAGGGTTTTATCCTTGCCTTTTAATGAATTGCGTGGTGATATTCCATTGGGAATTTGGGATATGGACAAACTTGAAGTTTTGGATCTGCAAGGGAATTTAATTACTGGGTCTTTGCCATTGGAGTTTAAGGGGTTGAGGAAATTGAGGGTTTTAAACTTGGGTTTTAATCAGATTGTGGGTGCCATACCGAATTCCTTGTCAAATTGCCTTGCTCTACAAATCTTTAATCTTGCTGGAAATAGGGTAAATGGGACCATTCCAGCATTCATTGGTGGATTTGAAGATCTGAGGGGAATCTACCTGTCTTTTAATGAGCTTAGCGGGTCTATTCCTGGTGAAATTGGGCGTTCTTGTGAGAAACTTCAAAGTCTAGAGATGGCAGGTAATATCTTAGGTGGTGTTATTCCAAAAAGTTTAGGGAACTGCACACGGTTGCAGTCACTTGTCTTATATTCAAATTTGTTGGAAGAGGCTATTCCAGCTGAATTTGGTCAACTAACTGAGCTCGAGATTCTTGATTTGTCTAGGAACAGCCTAAGTGGTCGACTACCATCTGAGCTGGGAAACTGCTCGAAACTATCCATTCTTGTACTGTCAAGTTTGTGGGATCCCCTTCCAAATGTGTCTGATTCAGCTCATACTACTGATGAGTTTAACTTTTTTGAAGGCACAATCCCATCAGAGATCACCAGGCTTCCTAGTTTGAGAATGATATGGGCTCCCAGGTCAACTCTTTCAGGAAAATTTCCTGGCAGTTGGGGTGCTTGTGACAATTTGGAGATCGTGAACTTGGCTCAAAATTATTATACTGGAGTGATTTCTGAGGAATTGGGTAGCTGCCAGAAGTTGCATTTTCTTGACTTGAGCTCAAATAGGCTGACTGGACAGCTTGTTGAGAAACTGCCAGTTCCTTGCATGTTTGTGTTCGATGTGAGTGGGAATTATCTCTCTGGTTCAATTCCCAGGTTTTCCAATTACAGTTGTGCTCATGTTGTTTCCAGCGGTGGAGATCCATTTGGGCCCTATGATACATCATCTGCATATCTAGCACATTTCACCAGTAGAAGTGTTCTAGACACTACATTATTTGCAGGTGATGGTAACCATGCAGTATTTCATAATTTCGGTGTTAACAACTTCACGGGAAATTTACCGCCTTCCATGCTAATTGCACCTGAAATGTTAGGCAAACAAATTGTATACGCATTTCTTGCTGGTAGTAACAGGTTTACTGGACCTTTTGCTGGTAACTTGTTCGAGAAATGTCATGAATTGAATGGAATGATTGTTAATGTAAGCAATAATGCGTTGTCAGGTCAAATCCCAGAGGATATTGGTGCAATTTGTGGGTCTCTTAGGCTGTTGGATGGATCCAAAAATCAGATTGTTGGGACAGTCCCTCCGAGTTTAGGGAGTCTGGTTTCATTAGTTGCTCTCAATTTAAGTTGGAACCACCTGCGAGGTCAGATTCCTAGCAGACTTGGCCAGATAAAGGATCTCAGTTACCTCTCTTTGGCTGGCAATAATCTGGTTGGCCCAATCCCCTCAAGTTTTGGCCAATTGCACTCTTTAGAAACGCTTGAACTTTCTTCGAATTCTTTGTCTGGTGAAATTCCAAATAATCTGGTAAATTTGAGGAATTTGACTTCCCTTCTTCTGAACAACAACAATTTATCAGGGAAAATACCTTCAGGCTTGGCCAATGTGACCACACTGGCAGCATTTAACGTTTCTTTCAATAATCTGTCTGGGCCACTGCCTCTTAACAAAGATTTGATGAAGTGTAATAGTGTTCAGGGAAACCCCTTTCTGCAATCGTGCCATGTATTTTCTCTATCAACACCTTCTACAGATCAGCAGGGAAGAATAGGGGACTCACAAGATTCTGCTGCGTCTCCTTCAGGTTCAACCCAGAAAGGAGGGAGCAGCGGTTTCAACTCCATAGAGATTGCATCCATAACATCTGCGGCAGCTATTGTGTCAGTTCTTCTTGCTCTGATAGTCCTGTTCTTTTACACCAGAAAATGGAATCCAAGATCTAGAGTTGCTGGATCTACCAGGAAAGAAGTCACAGTGTTTACAGAAGTTCCGGTTCCTTTAACATTTGAAAATGTAGTGCGGGCCACAGGGAGCTTCAATGCTAGCAATTGCATAGGCAGTGGAGGTTTTGGAGCAACATACAAAGCGGAGATTGCACCAGGGTTCCTAGTGGCAGTAAAGCGACTTGCTGTAGGACGTTTTCAGGGGATTCAACAGTTTGATGCAGAAATCAGAACTCTGGGGAGGCTTCGACATCCAAACCTCGTAACTCTGATAGGATATCATAATAGTGAAACAGAAATGTTTCTGATCTATAACTATTTGCCAGGTGGTAATTTGGAAAAGTTTATTCAGGAGAGGTCTACAAGGGCTGTGGACTGGAGGGTTCTTCACAAGATTGCTTTGGATGTAGCCCGTGCACTTGCTTACCTGCATGATCAGTGTGTACCACGTGTGCTTCATCGTGATGTGAAGCCGAGCAACATTTTATTGGATGAGGAGTATAATGCATATTTATCTGATTTTGGTTTGGCTAGATTACTGGGAACTTCAGAGACCCATGCAACTACTGGTGTGGCGGGAACTTTTGGATATGTTGCTCCTGAATATGCCATGACTTGCCGCGTCTCGGACAAGGCTGATGTCTACAGTTATGGGGTTGTGTTGCTTGAGTTAATATCAGATAAGAAAGCACTTGATCCGTCTTTCTCTTCTTATGGAAATGGATTCAATATTGTTGCTTGGGCATGCATGCTTTTACGGCAGGGCCGTGCTAAGGAGTTCTTTACGGCTGGTCTATGGGATTCAGGTCCACATGATGATTTGGTTGAGGTCCTACACTTGGCTGTGGTCTGCACGGTTGACTCTCTTTCTACTAGACCTACAATGAAGCAAGTAGTAAGACGGTTGAAGCAACTTCAACCCCCGTCGTGTTAGCTGCTGCATGTGTTTTGGATAGGATATGGTTTAGCCCAATTGTAATTTTAAAACTTGCCCTTGATAGTAAGGTGTATTTGGGTGTCTCGTATTAGGTTCAGATTTGTATTTGTAGCCTGCTTGTGAATTGTAGTATATAGCCAGCCCCCATTTTTCCATGTCATGTCCCTAATTAGGGGGTGTGCAGATTCATCTGCAGAAGAGTGCAGATACTTGTCTTCAACATGTACCACATTTTTATTTGTTTGTTAAATAAGAGCAAAAAATAGGAACCATTTCTATTACACCATTCCTTTAATTTTCGGTTTTTTTATGGAGGGTTGATCTCGATCGACTTAAACAAAAGAGTAGCTTTTAAGTTGAACCTATTTAAAGTCGATCCAAACACCCTCTTAGTCGAACGTTGACACCTTTTTTTGGTACATACAGTGGCAAGAACAGTAAAAAGAATGTCTGATGTATGTTCCTAATTTTTCTGGTGAATACACCTTTGACATAAGAGGATTTCACTGCTGCAAATAAAATTTGGCTACTTCGGTAGAGGATTTTCACTTTTCTGTGATTTTTGGGTTAGAACTACTCATATTACTATGTTGATATTTAAATCTATTAAAAACATCCAATACACTGAAAATGGGCCTCACCGCTCTTTTAACTCTCTAATGCTTGCTTTATTACTTACTATAGCCATCCATGTATTATTCATTGTTCTTTCTTTTTTCCACTTCCTCCTCTGTTTTATACAGTCAAACTCTGCTAATTTTCATCCTATGACTTTAATAAATACTTGTAGCAAAACAAAATCCATTTATTGTTCTTGTCCAGTGTCCCCAATATTAATATTTAACGTCAATGGTAACGCAGATATCTTAAATTTGAATTGTTTTGAGGTCATATCTATCCATTAAAATTTAAAGAGCTTTTGAAGCTTTACTTCTTAATTTAATCTGCTGCGAATGTGAATCATTTCGAAAGAATAATATATCAGAAGATGAGTAACTCATATATAAGATTTGAGATTGTTCATATGAGATTTGAGCCCTCGGAATTGAAAAATAATTCAGTTAGTTGAAGTAGATAAACTCCTACAATATATAAATAGGAACTCATATAGTGATGTATATACACTATTTATACAATATCGATACATTACATATACATATGGTCATTTAGTTGGCGGATTGTATATTTACGTAAGAAGCTCAAATTAAAATTTCTTTTCAATTAAAATAAAATCAATCAAAATAATTTAAACTATATTTTGTTATGAAATTATATAAAATAATGAGAAGAAAGTAGGGAGAAGAGGGAGACTTATAATTTCTCTTGAGAGATATTTAGGAATTCACAGATCTAATTTACAATGAATGAATTCAAAGGGAAACCTAAGAGCCCGCTTGGACAGGTTTAAAAAAAATAGCTTTTAAAATGTACTTTTGAAAGTGCTGGAGCTTATTTTTAAAATAAGTAGTTATTTGTTTGGATAAAAGTGCTGAAGTTAAAAAAAAGTTATTGATGTGTTTGACAAATAAGTGCCGGTAAATAATTTTTTTAAATCAAAATGTCTGAAAACCCCTTAAAAGCTGTTAACATGATAAAAAATGATTAATTTATGTTTTTTATACTTAAAAAAATGAAACAAAATTAATTTATGTTTTACATCCATAAGTAATTATATTTTGCAATCATTAACATATTTCTTTAGTATCACAAATTATTTTTAAATAATAATAATACTATATATAATAATAATAACAATAATGATAATAATAATAATAATAAAAATATTATTAATAATATATAATAATAATAATAAAGAATAATAAAATAAATAATAGTAATAATACAAAATGATAAAATATTAGTAATAGTAATAATTATTATAATAATAATAATATAATAATAATAATAATAAAATAATAATATTAATAATTAATTGTAAATAATAATAATAATAAAAAAGAATTAAGGGTAAAAAGTTAATATACATGGTCAACATAAAATGAATTTTAAGTTGAAAAAAAAGCACCCCTCATCAAGCTTTATCTTTTGGTTTAAAATAAGTTATTTTTGACTTAAAATAAGTCACTTTGATAATCGTCAAACACTCTAATAAGTCAAAAACTGACTTTTAAGTCAGTTTGATCAACTTTTAAGCTCACTCAAACGGGCTCTAACTTGACTCCCAAGTAAAATTCCTAACTTTTCATCAAAAAGGACTCCACCTAATAGTCACGCTATAATACAAATATGGTTATAACACTCTCATTGAGTGTCTATTTGATAGACTATATGCCGTTAAAATCTTATTAGATAAAACATAATGGAAAAAGATTATAGTGAAAGAAAAAGAGTATACATATCTAATAATACGCATTATGGATGCCTCATTAAACTTTACAAGGAAAATTCAATGGGATGATATCTTGTGAGATCAAGGAAAAAGAGTACATCGCGTATTAACTCCCTCTAGTTTGATTATCAATCCAAAGACTTGAATCTTCACATTCCAAGCTTATACACCATTTTCTCAAAAGTTATAATTGGTAAAAACATGATGAACAGATCACTTATATCATTACTTGAAAAAATCTGTTGCATGTTAAGATCATCATTCTTGAAAGGTCATGTGTGTAGAAAATCTTTGATGAAATGTTCTTTCTTCTTTCTCCTTTTATGAATCATCCTTTAGGATAAAAAAAAATTCAGCAAGTTCCTCACTTTTAACTTCTTTAAGAAAATAATTTATTGCCTTTGAAAAACTCTTCAAGAGTTTTAATTCAAGTTATTAACTTCTATAATATTACAAAAGATTATTAATTGATTTAATCCATGTGAGGATTATAAAACTTACATATATTCATGTAGTTTGAGTCAATCTGATATTTTTATATCAATTTGTCAAGTAACAACATTCAACACTAAATGTATGATACTTGAGTGTCTAGATTTCAAGTCAAATAAGCTATGCTCTTATTAAGAAGCATCATTTCACTTTCTTGATAATTATTTCTATACAAACATACTTTTATAGACATAGAATTCACATCATCGTTATTGTATCAAATATATTTTCAACGAGATGTCACATTGTATCGATTTACAATACGACATAACTAATTGAGATCTCATCACTTTGTTATTTTCAAGTACATACCCCTCTCATGAGATTTCATGAAGCATTATGTTATAGACTATTTAAGAGCACATTATCTCCTCAGTATGATTATTTTGACTATTTGTTCCTTCTCTTTTCAAAAATCATTGTATTTAGAACCGATTAGCCTATCATGCTTTATGCATATCATAAACTTTATCATTTATGGACATTCAATAGGACCATTTGCAACATTTGTGTTACTTCTTATCTCCCCTTATAAAAGACAAACAAACATATATCTCAACCTATTTTGGTGAATCCATCTTTATACATCATGTATATTCATTAATTATATACTACACATCACAAATATCAGATGAATAATATTTAGTCCCTGATCATAAATTAATTGAGACATATTGATCACAATTTATTGGTCTTGTCCATTCAATTACTTTGGTATGCAATACATTATATTTCAAATCATGAAACTTTTTTCTTATAAGCAATGATTAACTATTTATCTAAAGAATTTAATGTCATATCAATTTGAATATTCATTAGTATTATTAAGATGAATTTTCTTGACTACATATTCTGAAAGTTGTGCTCTTGACTCAATTTTTATACAAATAATTTTGCGAATTTAAACTACGGATTGACAACAAAAGCAATTATGGTAATCTAATAGATGCATTTACTTATTATCTCACATGATAAGTGAATAGGCTCATATTCATCTTTAATACTTTTCAAAATTTAGGAATTTAGTCCCAACATTAGTTGATATAATCAAGAATAAGCAACATAAGAAATTCTTGAAGAACTTTTAATTCTTAAATATATGTGTATTATTCAGTATGCACATGTTCAAGGATTGACAAATCATTCATGTTAACTAATAAAATTATTAGCATCAGTAACTCCAAGTTTATTATGACATGTACCTTTTGTTACATGTACAAATTTCATATCTGTTTCTTCTTATTTACTTTATCTCTTCTGAAGGTGAAACGTAATTTCATCATTATAAAATGTATATCTGTATTGATAAGATTAAGTTTTCACTATCACATTCACTTTAATATTGAATTTATTCAATCTCAATTGATATGAATTAATCATTAAATGATGGGGCTGAAAACTCTAAATTGTAGCCAAGGCGAATGGATTTAACATGATTTTTAGAAAACTGCGCCAGTAATCATATTACTTGTGGCAATCGCAACCCCAAGTTTCGAGATTACAATAGGCATACATGAGACCATCTAAAAGAAATATTTATTAGGACCATGAAGTATCTAAACAACGCACTAGATTGTTGAATAAGTCGACAGATTCAATCTTAGTTTTCACTAATGATAGACTTAAAATTAACTTGCCTTGATAACAAACAATACAATAAAATCTACAATTCAAAAGAGTACTTAGGTTCTTTAATCAATGTCTATTCGAATTTTCTATAATTCTTCTCATCATTATAGACCCAAGATGTCTAACACGATCTAAGTATTGAAATTAATAAACTTCTGATATACTATTGGATATGCCTTAATTGCACCAATTCTTGTCCAATACAAGCCAGAAGATGAAATGAGGAAATTTTCTATAACATGTCCAAGACCAAAGATCATGATCTTTTTCACACCTAGCATGGCGGGCTACACCTCACTTACTTCAGAAAATAGAACTGTATTTTTAGCATTTAGCAAAAATTCTTATTTTTCATGAATGAAAAACACTCATCTAAGTACATCAAATTATGATAACTTATTATCTCATTTCACATTCATGTGCATTATTCAATAACTTATCTTTTATCAGACATATTCTGCACTACTGCCACATTTACTTTAAGGGAATGTAGCTATCTCAAAGGGACATATTCATGACTAATTTC